TTATTCACTGCTAAAGTCATCAGTTGTTGTTATTATTATTATTATTATTATTATTATTATTATTATTATTATTATTATTATTATTATTATTATTATTATTATTATTTTCTTCATAATAATTATTTTGAAGAAGAAGCCTGGCCCAGAGGCCCACAGTGATGATGGGTCAGGCAGAAGAAACAAAGCTGTGTTGGGTTTGCACGGAATCACCTGGACCAATTTGCACCTGTGCAACACCTGGCTTTTCTGCCTAGGCCTGGACTCTCACTATTAAGATATGAGGAAAGAGGAGAAAAAGACAGACAGAAAATATAGTTGGCACTGTCTCCCTTCAGCCAAATTCTGGACTCACTAGGGAGTTTTTCTTAATTAAGTACTGTTTTCTTGTCAGCTCTGAAAGCCCCAGAAGCAACACTGTTCAAGTGACACAAGTTGATTTTTTAGACCTGCTAGTGACCAAATACATCAAATACTGCATGAAACTTCAGGCTCAACTGCCTGCAGCCACAGCCATTACATCTCACTCAATAAGTGAATCTTTACCATGAACACTGAGCAGGGGAACAAACTGTGCTTCTCAGCCACAACAGCATTTCAAACAGCACCTAAGTGCTCCTCCTACCACTGCACTTTGGGACAGGACACCGGAGAAAAACCAGGACAACCCCTGCAACCCAATTCTAACTCAGCATCTGACTCATCCCATGCTCCAGCCACTAATCCAACAGTCTACTATGCAGAAATGAATGACTCAAACTGATATCTGGTGCCTCCATGTTAATCTTCTCCCTTAATAAAGTGTCTTTATTAGTTTAGCAATCTAAAAATAACTGGCTGCATGATACTGACCAGCCCTAATCAAAACATCTGCCAGCCCATCTAGCTCGAGCTACCCTTTAGATCATGTGCCACCACTTCAAAGCCTCCTGCATCAAGTCAGTAATTGTAACATTGCATCTAAATATTTAAGCTAGGGGCTGGTAGTCGCGTGTCCCATTTACAGTCAGCATCTGTCCTCTAATTCCATTACAGTACAAAGCAAAAATGTTTCCCAAAACTCACAAACAGGAAAAGCATCACACAGCTAGAGAGGCAGCAGCAGCTTGAACTTTTGAGCTGCTGAGCAGGGCTTTTGTGCTAAGGTCCTTTTTTTTCCTACCCCCTCAAACTCCCCACATACACACACTAAAATAGGGGTGGTGCCGAAATTGTATTAATGTGAGCCTCAGGCACACAGAAAAAAAGAAAAGAGGAAGGGGAGGGAAAGGGGGAAGGGTTTGGTCCAAGATGAAAGTAAGAAGAAAATAAAGGAGGCAATTTAGTCTGCTGTAGCCTGAATTGCTCTCAGTAGAGCCAAGGGTAGAGGCTTGGGATGAGTAGGGCCCTTTTTGGACGGGTGCGCATGACTGGGGGAGGATCCGCCAGGACAGGGCCCGGGGGCCAATTCCGCTGGCTGGGAACAGAGGCCCACTTTGAGGCCAGCAGGGGGGGTCCCGGCCCCAGCCCCCTCCCCAGCCCGCTCCCAGCAGCCTGGGGACCAGCTCTGCCCCATCCCTGCGGTGCTGGAAGCCGCTGGGTGCTGCCGGAAAACAACAGCTATCTTATGGAGGGGGGAGCTATCGGATTAGTCAGCAAACCATGCTGCACAGAACTGCCCCCAAAGGTACAAGCAAGTCCCTCTTCCGTAGTGGTTATGCTAAAAATAAGCTCTGATGTGCCTCATAAAGGCACAAAACTTTCTGGTGTTCTATATTTATGGCTTGTGCCTTTCAGAAAAAAATTATCACATGTGTAGAAATACAGATATGCTGTTATAGAACTATCAGCCTCCTGATACACACTCTGACAATTAAGTTTTCTTTAAATATATCCCCAGAATCAGAGTTGAGGGTGACACTGGCAGAAACACTGAAATGCAGCATGTACAGGGCTGCACATGTGGCATCTGTAAACGGTGTGAGAATCACGTGTAAGTGTCCAAGAAGAGAGGATGAAACAGAATCACACCAGCCATACAAAAGTTTACCTACACCCATAAATGTGGTGGGAGAGATCCCAATGATTCACTGTTTCTATCACACATTTTTTAAAAATATCACGTTTCCATTTTCTCTAATCCCACTCTGCTGTAAATACTCCCTAAATCTTGAATTAGCTACCATTAAAATGACAACTCTTGTCCTTGTCCTTGGAAAAAATGCCAGTCCTTGAGCCACCCAAAGGCCCATGGTGAGGAGGGGATTTCAGGCAGTGCCAGTGAAAGTCCAGCACTAATGTGTGCTCCCGAGCAGAAAAGCCATCATGAACAGCCTCAGCAGTCACTTTCTGACCTATCCCACAGCCTTCCCTGGCACCCAAGCTCCAGGATACACCTCAAGCCCCCAAGAACAGAGCTACAAAAACTCCTCATATTGCACAAAACCCCACACTTTCTTCCCCTCAGTAACGTAGAGCACTCAGTGCTGAGCTGGCACTGAGGGGTTTGCTGCCCAGCACATGGACACCCTTTGGACATTCTGTAAACAACCCGAGTGTCAGAAGGGCATCTGAGCTGCATTGCCAGCAGGCACCCTCTGCCACAGCAGGCCTTGTAGCCAAGCTGGTGGGTGCTGGCAAATATGATCCTGCAGCATCAAAATCCTTAGGAGCACTGCCAGTTATTTTAGTAACAGACCAGGATTGTTTTTATAGGTGGAGTGAAATCAAAGCTCCTCGGCTGGCCATGGAGTTGAAGCAGAACTTTTTTTTGTTGGTCAGATACAGAAAGTAGTGGTGGGCTTCTTTTATGGTTATTCTTTTCTTGTAATGGTGTCACTGGCGTGCTGTGGCTATAGAATCACACTCCACGCAGGGCACGGGGGTGGCAACAAATGTTTTCTGGAGCAGCAGCGCGCTGGCACTGCAGCATCCCAGCCACTCCAGTAACGAGATTAAGCAACAGCTTGCTAGTCAGGGAGGGGGAGCAGACGCTGCTGTGGGGAAGAGCACACTCTCCCTCACGCTGCCAAGCCTTCCCAGCCACTGTCACAGAACAGATGGGATTACCAAAGCTGCCGATTCCACGGAACTGTCCGGTCACGTTCACGCAGCAGAAACCTGCATGCCTAGGGCAGGAGAGGACTACACTACCCCATGTAATCAAGGGGAAAATTGCTACTGATTAAACTCAAAACAAATAAAGTTAGACATTCACATCCACAGAAAGTGAAAGAGAGAATATGTTGCAGCCTCCTCCTACGACTGTGCTGGGAGGCACGAGCGAGCCACTCTTGCAGCAAGGCATCACCAGCCCCAGTGGCTTTCCTGCAAGAATTCTGGGGCTCCCCTGGGCTGGTGGCAGGCAATGCACCCAGACACTGATTTATAATAAATCAGGAGCCCCACTTTAAAGGGAGACAGTCAAAGAACAGGAAGACTGTTTCAAAGAGAAACAGGAGGATGGGTTGTATCGATAACAGCATTTTTTCTCTTGCTTTCTCTATTAACCACTCTTTCTTCCATAAAGCAGTGATATTATCAAGGCTTACTTATCTTCTGTTTCTAATCTCTGTCAAGAAATTGAAGAAGGCAGCAAAGCTAGACAACTAGGGCACTGAATTTAGCTATTTTTCCCTTGGTGCACATCCCTCTTGAAAAACCCTCTGTTGAACAAGATGCTGGAGGGAACTCTGGACCCATCATATGGGGGCAAACAGACCAGGCAATCAAACTGTGCCTTCCGCCTTAAAATCTCTAATTTTGTTAGCATCTTCTGCATGTATGTATTACACACCTCCTTGCAAACACAAACACACAGAAGATGAGGCTTCCCTGAAAGTTTTAATAACAGTTGAAAATGAAGTTTTAGGAGGGTTTAGTGGTTTGTTCTAGCAAAACAAGGACATGTCCTACTGTCAAACAACGGATTTCTGTTGTCCTTGCACAGCACCAGCATCCCTTGATGCCTAGAAATGCTATAAACATTTTCTCTCTAAAAACAGCTATTTTTTTCCACGTTTGAGAGTCCATAAAACTGCGTGGAGCATCAGCTATTAGGGGCTCATTGAATAATTCATCCCTCATTGCAAGCCCATAATGTCTTTTCTCAGCCTTTTGTGGGGCTGTTTTCTCTTCTTTTCTCCTTGAATTATAAAAAGGTTGCCTTCTTTTGTTCACATCAAGCTGCTGCTAGCTGAAGCTTTGTCTGTGCAAAGCCAAAGTGTGAGTTTCAATGGACTCCCCCCTCTTTGTTTTCCAAGTTCATCTCCAAGTGTAGATTGTGTATAGAAGGCCTTCTTTGTAAAAGCTGGAAAAGTTGTACAAATGTTTGACCAGCTCATTTGGTACTTTTGTCTCGCCTTCTCCAGCGCCTGTGCATGTGCTGGGCAGCGACTTCCACAGACAGGCGGCCGGGCCGGGCCCTGGCCTGCCCCTGCACCCCGGCCCGGCCGGGAGCCAGGCACGGCTGCGGCGGGAGCAGCAGCTGTCCCCCCGCAGCAGCCCTGCACCTCCGCCTCGTTCAGGGGCAGCCTCCTCGCAGGCCCGGCCCAAACACCAACACATGCTCTTCCCAGCAGTTTTAAGAGCAGAAAAAGCAAAACATGTGTCTCCTTGCCCTGTTTAGAATGCAGAGACTTGAGGCTCCGCAGGATTTTGCTGCACTGTCCCTTCTAAGCAGCTGCAGCCCTTTGCTGGGTTTGGGAGAGGAGCCCCTGCACGGCTGTGGTGAGGGGCTCTGTGGCGGCCCCAACCCTCCCTGGTTCCTGAAAGCCAAAGCAGCAGTGCCTCCCATCTTTGTTCCAGCCCCTGCGCCATTCCCGCACACTGCAGGGTCGCTCTGCTGGGGAGTGGGACACGATGGGATGCGGCAGCCAGGCTGGCAGGGCTCACTCGCCCTACACCTCCCGCTGGGCTGGCCCCAGGACAGCCTCTGGGAGACGGGCAGTGACAGCCACCAGCACCCGGGACTGGCATTGGCCGTCGCAGGGCTCCACGGAGAGCAGGGGCAAGCGGGACTTTACCTCTTTCGCTGAGGATGCCATCAATGCTGTGCTTGGCCTTCTTGTCGCCTTCCTCCACCTCTTTCCTTTCCAGCTCAGCCTCCTCTTCCTCGCCTTTCCCAAACTTGCTCCGCAGGATGCGGCTGATGGAGCTCACTTCAGGGGGGAGTGCAGAGCTGTGACCGGCTCGTCCCCAGCAGCCCCCCGCGGCTCTCGGGCCAGCCCGGGAAGCCGAGTCCCCCCTCAGAGCCACTGGCCTGTGTCCCTCGGCCACCGCCAGTCCGGACTTAAGGCAGGCAGCCTGTCACTCCCGTCCCCGCGGGGGTTTCACGGGGCGCCGTCCCGCACCGGACTCCAGCACGGGCACAGCGGCCCCCGGGAATCTTTCTTCGCCCCGAGCCCGCATGGCGGGTGATAAAGACCCCCGGACCCCTCACAAACACTGCTCCGGCTCCTTGTGCCCCCAGCCCATCCCGCACACACCCCGCCGGCACAGGGAGCTGCTCCCCATCTCCTGCTCCCCAGCTCCGCGTCTCCGGCGAGCTCCGAGCCCTCCTGCGGCAGCAGCCCGGAGGGGACGGCGGGGAAGCGCCGGGAGGAGGAGGGGAGGGGGATGCAGTTGCGATTTAATTGAAAACACCCCGCCGAGAGCAGGAATCCTCCCGGGAGGGAGGCACCGCGTGCTAACGCCGGCCGCTCCGTGGGCACCGCTCCGGGGTGCCCGGGGCTCCGATCCCGCGGGGATGGGGCTCACCCGGCTACCGCGCTGCCCCCTCCGGGACACCCCGAACCCCCCGCTCCGTACCTGACGGCACCGAGTTGCGGTCACACACGCCGTCCTTCAGCAGCTTGTCCCGGATCTCCCAGCTGAACATGCCCGCGTTTTCCCGCTTGTATTCCTCTATTTTCTTCTCAACATCCGGCGTCGTCACCTGCTTCAGTAAAGACAAGGCGAGCGGGCACAGTCTGTGGGGCCGGGGGAGCCGGGGCTGCCGCCGCCACAGCCCCGGGGCACTCGGAGCCGCCCGCGCCGTCGTCAGCGAGAGCCGACACCGGCCCCGCTCAGAAACGCCGATATAAAACACCCGAAAGCGGGCAGGGTAAAGAAAGAGGGACACAGAAGGTAATAACGGGCCGCATAAAACGAACACACTCCGCGTTAAACGAAACGTCCCAGAAAATCCTCCGGGGTTACCGAGAAGGTGGGACAGAGCCTTCGGCACGGAAAACCCCGAATTAGGCAGCACCGGCTGCCGTGCGGCCGAGAAAATACCAGGCTGCGACCAGCGGAGGACTCCGGGCAACGAAGCTCCAGGTCAGTAAAGTTTCGGCTGAACAAAGTTTGCAGTTCCGAATAAAATTCACCGTAATAAAAACGCATAGAAGTTCGAGTACCGGCATTTTTCTTCGGTAGCCTCGTGATTTTAAAATAAATCTAAAAACCAAACAAAAAGAACGATCTCCCGGCTGGCAATAGCCTTACGTTTGAGTAGCACGCTTATAAAAAATTACCTCTACTCCTAACACGGAAAGGAAAAGTTCGGACATGCTTCGCTACTTTAGAAGAATCAAAGAAGGAGGGGGGGGGGGGAGAATCTAGCAACAACTTCCAATAAAAACTCAAGCCTATACTTCACTTTAGTGGGAAAGAAAAGCTAGAGAAGGAGAAGCCTAATCTTGGAGAAAAAATTTCGTCTCCGTTATTGTTAGCGCAAACTTTTCGGAGGCGTAGCTATAAATACACGCAGCCCTAGAGCAGAGAGAAAAAGTAAACAGAGCAGGAGAAGGAGCAGTAAAGAGACCGACACAAATACAGGTCGTTTTGTTGCGCTTTCAACGAAAGCGGGAGGGCCCGATCCAGCCGTGCTGGGTCAGCTCCAGCACCGGACCGATCGCGTCCCGCTCCGTCCCGCAGCCCCGAGCCCGCCTGCGCTCCTGCGGGGAAAATGAGCGTGGGGCACGCGGGGCTCTGGGAAGTCAAGTGCTCAAAAAAATGCCCTTTTCGCCCTATTTTCATTTGAGTTTTTTTAAAAATAGAATTTCCTTAATTAAAAGTATTATTATTTCCAAGAACTCCGACAATATTTTCTAAACTCGGGAAGTTTGAGAGCAACAGGTGGGGACACGGCGGGGGTGCTGCGTCCCATGAGTGTCTGCGCCCACCCTCGGCCTCGCACGGTCCCCCGGCCCTTCCGGAGGCCGCCGTCCCCACTGTAAACCCCGGTGCCGACCAGCCTGGGCCGTGTCCCGGTCGGAACTCGCTCCCCGCCACCGCGACTGGGGTTTGCCCGGTTCCGGGCGGGCGGGAGAGGCTCACCTTGGGCTTGCTGCCGCCGATGGCCCCCGGTCGGATGGAGCCCGTCTCCTGGTACCTGCAGAGAATTTTGGAGACGCAGCCGTGGGACACTCGCAGCTGGCGGGAGATGACACAGGGCCTTATGCCATGGTGGGCCATCTCCACTATCTTGTGCCGGATATGGTTGGGTAAAGGCCTGCCATTGATAAACACTCCTCCGAGCTGATTGACTCTGCCCTGGCCTAGAGGGGTAGAGACTAGAAAAGGAGGGAAGGGAGGCAGGGGGGTAAATGGCGTTAACGTCTCCTTCGGATCCTGCTGCGTCTTTTTATTTTTTGTTGTTGTTATTGTTACTATTTTTTTGTCTTTGCTTTTCTATAAAGCAACTCACCCCCGCCCGCCCCGCCGCGCACCCGGGGTCCGCAGCTCCCGGGGCGACCCCGCCGCCGGCCCGGCGGGCAGGGCAGGGAGGCGGCCGCGGGCTTCACCTGTTGCACTCAGCCGGAGCCGGCTTCCAGAGCCCGCCTGACTCCGGCGGAGAAAGGGGAAGCGCTGCGGGAAGGCCGCAGTGTCCCCGGGAGCGGCGGTGGGAGCCGCGGCCGCCGCCCGTCCTGCGTCGGGCACGGGCCTGGCAGTGCCGGCCCCGCGGGGCCCTCACACCGCCGCTGCCTTCAGAGCGGCCACTCGCAGCGGCCCGACCCACGGCTCTCAACTTCCTTTCGATTCGCATTGCTTTTACCCGAATTTAATTTTTTTCCTAACTTTTCCCCAACTTTGGGCTCCCCAAACCACCCCCCTTCACTCCATAAGAGAACCGGGACCGGCTGCGCTGCCGACCTCCCCGCTCGCGGGCCGGGCCGCTCGGGGGTGCGAGGCCGGAGCTGCAGCGGTCCGAGCCGTGCCCGTCCTGGGACAAGCCCTGCTCTGACAGCCCAGGGGGAAGCCGGGCGGCTGTCCTGGAGGACTCCGTGCACCGGTTCTGGCGGGCCGGGGGGGCCGCTTTGTTCCGGCGTCCCGGCACGGAACGATTATCCCTTTCCCGACCGGGAGCGGCACAGGCGCGGCCTTACCTTCGAGCGGGAACCCGCTGCGGGGATAGTTCTGCCCGGCCCCGGGGCGCATCATCCTGGGGACAGCTCCGGCCAGAGTTGTCATCGCAGCGGCAGCGGCCGGCAGGGTTATATCCAGGTGAGGGCTGATCTAGGGGAGACCCGCGCTGTCAGCGGGCCCCGCCGAATCAGGAGCGGTCCCGGAGGGGGTGGGGGATGCCGCCGAGGGGCGGGGAGGAGGCAGCTCCGCCGCTGCCCCTTTGTCAGTGACCCGCGCTGCCCCGCACCGGGAGGGCAGGGGCCGGGCCGGAGCCCCGCCGGGCTGGGCGCGGGGAGGGCGGGCGGGCGCGGGGCGGGGGGCGGCGGCGGTGTCCCCGGTGCGGCGGGGAGCGGCGGCCGCGGGGCCGGGAGCATTTATCGGCTCCGTGCCCGGCGCGGCTCGGCGGCGGCGCCGCCGCGATTGGCCACCGCCGTCCGGCCCGGCCGCGCCGCCCCCGCTGATTGGGCGAGCGGCGGCTCTCGCCCATCGGCCCGGCCGGCGCGACGGCGGCGCGGCCCGACCGGCACCGGCACCGGCACCGCGCGGCTCGGCTCGGCTCGGCTCGGCACGGCAGGACACGGCCCCGCGCTGACCCCGCGGGCAGAGCCGCGCTGGACCCTTTCCCCGCAAGCGGAGGGCGGCCGGGGATGGGGATCTAGTCGGTACCCCGACGGCCGCCCCAGCCCCGGGAGAGAAGCACCAACCGGGCCGGCCCGGACATCGCACCCCTCAGGACCTCGTGTCACTGCGGGACTCCGCGGGACAGCACCCGCCTGGCTGCCACGAAGCCTTTTGTCTCCTGGCTCCGCTCCCCGAGCATCAGCGGCGGGGTGGGGGCAACAACATTTTTAATTTTAAAGAAAAAAAAATGCTCCTTTATTCTTTTCTTTTACTTATTTACTTTGAACCGAAATCTCTCCGTCCAGAAGAAACATCTCTGGAACAAATGGTGCTCACTGTTTGGAGAGGAAGAGCTGCCAGTGAGATCTCCGTGGGGATGTCTGCGTTTAAAAACCGATGGGACAAGGGTGTCCCTGCGTTTCACGCGTGTGCGTGAGCGTTTATATGTGCATGGGTGCGAGGCGGTGCATGTTAAAGTCTTACTAACAAGCGTTTGTTCCCAGGAATTTATTGTAGTATTCAAACTAAACTGCTGGAAAAATAAAAGAGGTAAAGTCTGCCTCGGAGCTGGAGTGCCCACAGCAGGATATGACGCCAGGAGTGTTGTAAAGACTGTCTGTCCTTAGAGAAGGTACCATTGTGCACGGCCTTTTATTTATAACTTGGTAAGTGCCAGCAAACTCGCCTCCTTTACACTCCGAAGTGCCAGCCCGGCTTTCCACAGGGCTTTTTATTTGCAATCGTCTATTCAGGAACTGTCACTCCCGAGCTTCAAGTTATTCAAGACCTTAATCAATCAAAAGGATGAGAATCGCTCAGGTTTCCTCCTTTGAAATGAAGGGGAAAAATGTTTTCTGGGCTCCCAGTCCACGTTCCCTTTACGAGCCGGACGATCGTCGCGGGGCCGGGGCCGGGGCCGGCCCCAGGGTGGGCGGGGGTTCGCGTTATTTAGGCAGAAATCCGGAGCCTCAATAATAAACGAACCGGCCGTCAAGGGACCGGCAGCAGCACGGCGCGGGCCCCGGGGAAACTCGGAGTTTGCATCGAGCTCCGCTCCGCACTGAGGGACGAGGGGTCCGCAGAAGAAGCGGCACCCACTGCCCGCCGGGGTCCCTCTGGCCCGTGGTCCCTCTCTCTCCAGCCCCATGCGCCGGCCACCAAACCGAGTGGTTTCCCTCGCTTTCAAATGCACACAGACAGACCCAAACACCGGGTGCTGCCCGGGAACGCTCCCGCACCCCGAGGAAGAGCCTGTCAGGAAAAGTTCACGCTCAGTGAAAGTCAGCGTGTATTTCACAAAGCGTTTGTGTCTCACAAACCCCGCGGTGGCCGGAGCTCTGGGAAACCTGTTAGCGAGCCCTATGGGAGCCCAGTCCGGTGAGAGCCGGGCCGAGCCGGGCGGCGGAGCGCCCGCGGCAGGCGGGGAGCGGCCGGGCCCGTGGCGCGGCCGGGCCGGGGCGGCGGGAGCCGTGCGGGCCGAGCCCTCGTTCCACGGACCGCGCCGCGCCACTCGCCACTCGCCTTTTACTGGAGGGGAGAAGTCGGTAGAAGTGTTACTTAAGAAAAGAGATTAAACTCCTTAGGGTTTAATTCTCGCTCAGGAGCCCCGCGGCGGGGAGCAGGGCCGCACGAAGTGCACCCGGCGCTAACAGCATCCCCGCGCCACCTCACTCCCCACCGGTGCATGAGAGCAGAAACCCTCCCTTCGCGACGGGTGCCATCGTGATGCTGTGGGTAGTAATCCTCGTCCACGCCAGGAGGGGTGCGAACTGGGACTGTCTCGACCCCTCACCCACGGAGGAGGAGGAGCGGAGCCCCTCATCCCGGCAGGAGAGCCAGCCTGGGCAGTGTTTTCCAGCTGCTTCCCCTCTCCTTTAACGCCGCGCCTTCGTGTGCGTGCCGCGTGGTTTTGCGCGGAGCCGGTGTCGCACCCGGGGCCGCCCCAGGCCCATCCCGTGCCGGCCCTGCCGCAAACCCTCTCGGCAGCTCGGAGCTGCTCCCCGCGATCGTTCGGGGATGGAGCAGGGCCTGGACGCTTCCCCCGACAGGGCTGGCGGCTCCCGCAGCTCCAGTTCCCCGTTCCGCGCCCGGCCCCGTGGGGCTGCCGTGGCTCCCGCAACCCCCGCTCGTCCCCGCAGCCCCAAAGCCGAGCCGCGCTTCCCCAGGACGGGCTCCCGGGCCGGGCTCGCCTGGACGGCAGGGAAAAGCCGTGTGAAACCCACCTAGTCTCGCCCTCGCGGTCCTGCGCTACCAGACACCAGTGCCCCGCGATGAAACAGCCTCATCTTCCCGCACGGGAACTGTGAAAAATTCAAGGCAAAAAGATTAGGCACGAACGCCTGGCCCCGCTCCTCCCTCCCCTCCTCGCCCCCACCCCCATATTACAGTCCTTTAGGCCAGCAGAGATGATTTCACGGTTTTCCAGTGGAAATAGCTAAAAACGCTCCTGCTAATTACAGAGCTCTTCCAGGCCAGGTGCACTTTTAATTGGATTAGTAAGTGCTCTATATTAAACCTGCAGCACATCAAATGGACAGTGAAAATTAGAGCTATTAAGAACACAGGCAATCATTTCTGAACGATAAACAGTGTTGGTCTCCCCTCTATTAGAAATAAATCAATTACACTGTTTCCGGTTTTGCGTGCACAAATTCATTTCTCATACGGGTTTCGAAGCGAAGTCCCCGGTTATTTCCAAGGGAGGTGGAGAGGAGACTACACAGTTTGATACATAAAAAGTGTGCTTGGAAAAGGGAAAGGAAAGGAAAGGAAAGGAAAGGAAAGGAAAGGAAAGGAAAGGAAAGGAAAGGAAAGGAAAGGAAAGGAAAGGAAAGGAAAGGAAAGGAAAGGAAAGGAAAGGAAAGGAAAGGAAAGGAAAGGAAAGACAGGTGGAGAGAGAAAGTGGAGGAGGGAGTAGGAGAGAAAAAAAAGAGAAAAGGAAAGAAAGAAAACCGAAAAACACCAACACAAAAAACCCTCAGAAAGAACGAAGGAAATCAGGGCTGGCATAACTATTGAGTATGGACGCCTGTAACTGCTGTTTCTCCACGCTGTCCTCGCCACAAACACCTAAAAAAAAAAAACCTGGGTTTGGGTCTCCGGCCGAGGACGACCTCAGGGCTGCCCGGTTCAGCTTCACCCTCTGCCTCACAGCTTTCCCTTCACACAGGTTTCCCTCTTTCCCCCTCCCTCAGAGCGAGCGGGTGTGTATGTGTTTGGGGGACCCTCTGCCGCCCGCTCACGGCCTCCCGGACGGGGCAGAGCCGGGAGCCGCTTCCCGCCGGAGAGAAGCGTGTGCCCGGCGGGATGGGCAGCTGGGCTTGCGGGGCTGCGGCTTCCAGGGACCGCTGTCCGGCCCCGGCCGTGTGCTCCGCGTTAGGGGGGTCCTTCCCCGCCGTAAGCCAGGCGTGGGGACATGCGAGCGCTGCCCCGGACCAGAGGCGCGTTAAGCCAAACCGGTACCGACGGGCTCGGACGAGAGTGACCCCCGTAGGACGGCGAGTTGTAAAATGCCACAGAAGAGAAACTTCAATACTGTTTAAGAAACTCGGCATCAGCGTAACATGAACGGTTGTTGAATCGCTGCTTCGAGAGGGGACGCGATGGGCAGTGCCGGGGATGGTGGGACGGAGAAGAGGAGCAGGTAGGGAGGCAGCAGGTGGTGGCATCCCGCGACACCCCGCCGCGACAGCCCACGGCCACAGCGACAGGCAGCTCCGTGCAGCCCAGCCTCACCCTCAGAAATCAGCTCCGCCAGGGAAAGCCGCTCTGTGCCCTGTTTTCGCACATCGCCCCTCCCGTTTATAGACCCAGAGGTGTCCGGGGACATCGCTCATCGAGCCGGGGGTTGTGAGGGACGGAGCCCCGCGCCGTGCTCTGGGGCAGCCACCGGGGAAGAGCGGCGGGACGGGGCGATGGGATCGGCGGGACGGGACGGTGGGACCGGCGGGACGGGGCGGTGGAACCGGCGGGACGGGACCGTGGGATCGGCGGGACGGGGCGGTGGGGCCGGCGGGACGGGGCGGTGGGACCGGTGTGGGACAGGACGATGGGACCGGCGGGACGGGGCGGTGGGGCCGGAGGGACGGGGCGGTGGGATCGGCGGGACGGGGCGGTGGGATCGGTGGGACGGGGCGATGGGATCGGCGGGACGGGGCCGTGGGACCGGCGGGACGGGGCGGTGGGATCGGCGGGACGGGGCGGTGGGACCCGTGGGACACTTTCCCGATCGCCAGGCTGTAAGGCTGGAGGGAAGCAGCCGTAGTTTAGGAGGGGAAAGCACCCGCTCGGACGCCTTCCCTGGCCCCCAGAGCCCCGCGGTGCGAGGGCAGCGGGGCCCCTCCGCCCCGGAGAGCCCCGGATCGCGGCCGATGCCCTGGGAAGGCCCGAGCCAGCGGTGGAGCGGGCAGGAGGGGCCGGCTCCTGGGCTGGCACCTGGGCCCAAA